CATCTGTAACTCGGACATTAGCACTGAACGGTTCTGGGGGCGAGTGTCCTCTCCGCTGTATTGGGTTTATGTTCGATGTTTGTTAGTATAGTTCTTGTTTTTGATGAGTTATATTATTATTTGTTGGTGTTTGGGTTTTGTGTTTTCCTTTTTTACTTTTTTGCTTACTTCTCTTGAAAGATTTTGTTCGATTTGTTATTATGTCATATTTTGATTATTTTGTGAGTTTTTGTATTGTTGTGTCGGGTTTATATATTGAACTTTTGGTGTGCGTAATAAGTATTTTATCGGTCTATGATTAATCTGTATGTTATACTCTATATTTGTTTCTTGCGTGCTGCGTCTTCTGTCTTTTATGTTGTTTTTGTTTTGGGTTTATCTGTGTTCGTTTGTTTGGGTAGGACCTGCAGCTCTAAATGAACATTTATGGTCTGGGCTTATCTTGTGTAGCTTACGCGTCTGCTATTCGATTTTTTGTTTAGGCGTCAGTTGGTGTTTTGTCTGTGTTAGGGTTATGTTTAGATTTCAGGGGCGTGATTGTTAATCAATATTCCCTGGTATGCGGTGTGCTGTTTGATATTTATCGTTGGCGGTTATGTTGGTATTGGCTATTCCGTCTGACTCGAGTTAGCGGGGTCCGAGCCGTGCCGTGTATTTTTAGGTTATATGAGAAATGGGTCTGTTACGATTGGAGCCTTTTGTTCTGGAGTTGATTTTTTTCACCTATTCAGCTATTTACGGGTTCCGAGTACGGGTGATATATATGTGTTTACCTTGGATTTATCTGATTTTATGGTAGGTGTCTTATTTTCTTTTTTCGCCTGTCTTCTGTATTGTTTTCTATCGGTTCTTCTGTTTTTATTTTTTTTTGCAGTGTTGTGGAGTCCATTTCGTGGGTTTTTTGTATTTATTGTTGTCCAGATTACGTTTTATGTATTTTTCATTTGGGTGTCTTATTAAGGGGGGGGGCGGGAAGGGGGGAAGTGTTGGTTGTTGGTCGCGGAGGTGCGAGTGGGGGGAGACGGGACGTGCATCGTCCGTCGGACGTGCGGCGGGTGGGCGGGGGGTAAGGGGGGGAGGTTTTTTTAGTCGGGGGGAGGGAAAGGGAGTGGACGGGGTCGGTAAGTCGGCGAGGGAGGGACGTGGGGAAGGTGATCGGGACCGGGTGGCGGGTGCGGGGGGGGGGTCGCCGGTCGGGGAGCCAGGGTGAAGTGAAGGCGGGGGAGCTGGGGATGGACGGGGACGGGGGAGGGTTGGATGGGCGGCGGGGTCGGTGTGGGAGGACTCTCGGGGTTGGCGGGGCGTCGGTGTTGGGGAGGGCAGTTCGGAGGACCGGCGGGGGGGGGGGGGTGTATCGGGGCGGAGGGCCGCCGGTCGCGGGGGCGGTCGGATAGATCGGTTTCGGTGCGGAAAGGTGTGTATGTCCGGGGGGGGTGGAGGGGGGGGGGGTTTTCGGTGGCGGGGTTTCGCGGGGGGGTGGGGGAGGGGTCTTTCGGGTGGAGGGGGTGGGGGGGGGGATGTGGCTCGGAGGGGTGGAAGGGTTGGGGGCCACAGAAGTCGGCGGTCGGTTTATTCTGCGGTTGCGGGGGGGGCTGCGGGTCGAGGGGGCGTGGGGGTATCGATGTCAGTCGCCGGTTAGGTCGGGTCGGGGGGGTGTGGAGGCGCTGTGGGGGGGCGTGTGAGGGGTTCGGAGGGGGCGGCTGGTGGATGGGGGGGGGGGCGGGGGGGAGCGGGCGGGGAGGGGGGGATGGCGTACGGCGGGTGGTGGAGGCCGGGCCTCGGGACGGTGGAGTTCGGCGGGGTGCAGTTCGGGTGCGTTGGGGGGGTGGGGGCATACGGGGGCGTGTGATTCGGGGTTCGGCCTAGGGGGCTGGGTGCTCGGACGGGGCGGGGGGCGCGGGGGGGGGGGTTGATGGGGGGTTTTTGGAGTGGCGGAAGGGGTCGGGACGGGGTTCGGGTGCGGTGGGAGGGGGGTCGGTCGTCGGGGACGTTCGGGGGGGGTGTCGGGGGGCAGGTACGGGGGGTGGGGGTTCGGTTGAGGGTGGGAGAGGGGCCGTTCGTGCCGCGTGGTGTCCGGCGGGTAGGATGGGGTTTGGACGGGGAGGGGGGGGGGGATGGGGAGTGGGGAAATGGTGGGAGGTTCGTTCGTGGGGTGGGTGGGGTCGGGAGGGAGGGTAGGAGGGGGGGGGGGGGGGTTTAGGAGGCGGGGCAGGTGGGGCTCACGGGGTTGGGCGAGGGGGGGGGGAGGAGGGCGGGGTCCGGCGACGGGGGGGGGGCGGCGGCGGCGGGTGGGGGGGAGGATGTGATTTGCGTAGAATCGTCCCGGTGGGGGGGGTCGGGCGGGTGTGGCGTGTGGTGTTCGGGGATCGGGAGCCCGGCCGGGGGGGTCGGCGGAGACGGCGGGGGGGGGTGGCGGCGGAGAGGCAAGGGTCGGGGGGTCGTACAGGTGGGGAGGGTTTCGGGGTGGCACGGAGGTGTCGGATTGGGGTGGTCGGTGTGCCGGGCGTGTGAGGTGGACGAGGATTAGATAGGGCGTGGGGGCCAGGATCGGAAGGTGTTCGGAGGGGTTAGCGCGGCTCGGTTCGTTGGGGTCGGGGGGGTGTCGGGGTAGGGCGGGATGGAGGGTGGCTGGTCGCGGGGGGGGGGAGGAGGTTGAGATCGTGGCGGTTCCCGTTTTTTTTCCCCCGGGTCGGAGCCGGGGTGGAAGGCAGGTCGGGGGGGTGTCGTCGGGGGGGGGGGAGGAGGGGGGGGTGTCGGGCGGGCGGGGGGTTCAGGACCGGATCCGGGGGTGGGGGGGGGTGGACGGAGCGGGTCGGTTTCTCGCGATTCGGGGGGAGCGAGTAGGGGTGCGCGTGGGGTCGGAGCGGGGTTCGGCTCGGCTGGGGTCGGTGGGGGGAGGGGTGGGTCAGGCGGGTAGGAGGGTGGGAAGGAAGGATGAGGAACGGGTGGTCGGGGCGTCGAGGGGCAGGGGTGGGATCGGATGGGCGGCGGGGGGGGGGTCTCGGGTCGGGAGGGGGAGGGGGGGGATCGGGTGAGAGGGGGTCGGGGAGGACGGCGGATGGTGGGGGAGTTTAGGCCGGTTTAGTCGGGTGGCTTTTTCGGAGGTGGGGGGCGGGGAGGTGGCTCGTTGGTGCCGGGCGGTCGGGGAGGAATATGCGGGCGGGGGGCCGGGCTGGTCGTCGGGTCGGCGTTTAGGTGGGGTCGGTTGTGGGACCAGCGGCTGGGGGAATCGGGTGGGGTCGGGGCGTGGGGTCGTGGGGTAGGATACGAGGGATCGCAAGGGGCGGGCGGGTCGGAGTTGTGGGCGGTTCGGTCGGGGGGTGGTAGCGGTACGGAGAGTCGGGGTAGGGAGGGGGGCGGGGGGGCGTGGTGGCATGGTCGGGGGTGGTGTGGCGGGTCGGAGGGGTCCGACGCGGCGCGGGGTGGTCGGCGAGGGGGGGGGGTTCGTCGGGGGCCTCGGGCCCGGGGGGTGGTGTCGGCATCGGGTGGGAGTGTCGGCGGGGATTCGGTCGGGGTGTCGGGGGGGTCGGTCGGGGGAGTATGGGTGTGAGGCGGGGTCGGGTTCGCGGGGCGGGGGGGTGGGGTGGTGGCCGTGGGGGGTCGGGGGGTCTGTGTTCGGCTTTGGTAAGGTGGGTGCGGTCCCGGGTGAATAAGTCGACTCTGTGTGGAGGCGGGTGGCCAGGGTGGGGGTGGAGGTGGGTCGGTCAGGATGGGGGGAGGTCAGGCGATCGGTGCACGTATCGGGGCGAGCTATCGGGTGGACGGGGATCATAGACGCGGAGCGGTCGGGTGCGGTGTCGGGAGGGGTTCGGGGGGGGGTTGGTTGTGAGAGGGATGACGTCGGTCATACGGGCGGACTGGATGTTTCCGCGTCACGGGAGGAGGGGCGCCGGGTGGGGTTAGCGGAGTGTGGCGCGTGGGGTCGGGCGGAGGTCGTGATGGGACGGGCGGGGTGTGGGTGGAGTTTCTAGCAGGGGTGGTGGGGCGGGCGGGCCTTGCGTGGGGGTGATGGTCGGGGGTGTTCGGTACGGGGCGGAAGGAGTGATTTCGGGGAGGGAGACGGTCGGGTCGGTCGGCCTGTTCGGGATTCGGTGCGGGGGGTGGCCGGCGGGGGGAAAGGGGGGCGGGGGTCGGCGCTGCGGTTGGGGGTCGGGGGGTCGGGTTTCGGGATGGTATAGCGTGGGGACGGTTCGGGAAGGGGATGGAGGAGAAATTGTGCTGAGTACGGTTAGGGGTGGTCGGGGGTCCGGAGGGGGCCGGGGGAGTGGGGATCGGTCGGGGTGTGCATAGGGTATAGAACGGGGCGGGCGGGTCGGGAGGCGATCGTCGTGTGGTACGGTGGATGGGGGGTGGGTCGGGGCACGGGGCCGGGGCGGAACGGGGGGAACGGGGATGCTGGTGACGGGTGGAGGAGGGCAGGAGATACGTGGATTCGGTCTGTGACGGGGCGGGGACGCAGTCGGTCGGGCTACGGCAGGACGGTAGAGTGTGTCGGGGGGCCTCGTGCGGAGGGGTGGGGTGATTCGGTGCGACACGGGGAATTCAGGGTCGTCGGGGTAAGGACGGCCTGGTCCGCGGTGGAGGGCGGGGGGTGGGTAGGTGAAGCAGGGATCGGCGGGTGGCGGTCGTGGGAAGAGAGGCGCGGCGGTGGTCGGCATGGAGGGATGGCTGTGGAGGGCGGGTGTTGGTTGTGGGGCCGGAGGGGTGTGATCGAGGGTTGGTGGGCGGCTCGGCGCGGGGGGTCGGGGCGTCGGGGGAGGCCGGAATTGGTCCGTTAATTCGTTCGCGGGAGAGTTCGGAAGGTGCGTTGAGCTGTGGGGCGGGCGGGGGGGCGGATGGAGCAGTCGGGGAGGGTCGGAGGGCGGGGGACGGGAAGTTCTTCGTGGGGGGAATCGGTGAAGAGCGGGAGGTGGGCGGGGGGGGAGGGCGGGGGGTAGGGTCGGTTGGTTGTGTGGTCGGGAGGGACGGCTGCATCGGGGGGGGTTCAGGGGGGGGGATGGGGGGTGTAGGAGCGGGGAATCGGTCGGCGGAGAGGAGGGGCTGGGGGGCGTCGAGGATTCGGGGAGTGGTGGGGCCTGGGTTCGGGGGGGGTCGGTTGACGTGTGTTCGGGGAGGGAGGTCGGAAAGGAGGGGGGATAAGGAGTCGGGAGGTATACCGGGGTGGGGGACCTGGGGGAAGGGGGATGGGCGGTCGGACTTGTCGGGGCTAGGTCGGGGGAGGGGGGGGGGGTGTCGGCCTCGGGTGGGTGGGGGAGGGTCGCGGGCGGGCTCGGTGGGGGTGTGGTTCGGGTGGGCAGGGAACGGGGGGGAGGAGTCGGCGGCGGGTCCGCTGGGGGGTCGGGGGCGGGCTCGGGTGGGGGTGAGGGACGGGGGTCGGCGGGTGGCGGGGGTGGAGTGAGATCGGGGTCGGGGCGAGGATGGTGGAAGGTGGGTGTCGGGGGGCGATAGGGTTGGGGAGGGCGGTATCGGGCGTCGTATCGGGGAGAGGGCGTGGGAGGTGGCATCGAGCGGGCGGCGATCGGATTCGTAGAGGGGGGCGGGGCGGGTGGGAGGGGGTACGGGTCGGCGGGGGTCGGAACTTCGGGACAGAGTCGGTCTGGGGGGCGGGAGGGGTTGTGAGGGGGGGGGGAACGGGGGGGCGGGGGTCGGGCGGGGTGCGGGGCAGGGGTGATTCGGGGGGGGATCGGGTGGAGGGGCGGGGTAGCAGAGTCGGCCAACGTGTCCGGTGTGCGCGGGGCGGGTGGTGGGATTTGGGGGGGGTCTCGAGGGTCGGTCCGGGCTGTTCGGGGGAATTCGGGTGCGGATCGGGGGTCGGTGTGGCAGGGCTTCCGGGTGGAAGCGGAGTCTTCGGGTGGTCGGAACGGGAGGGGTCGGGGCCGAAGGGGGGGTGGGGGGTGTCTAGAGGGGGTCGGGTACGGGTCCGGAGGATTGTGGTCGGGTGTGGGGGTCGGGCGGGTACCGAAGAGGATGGGGGAGTGCGGGCGGGCGTGGAGGTGGGAGGTTGGGGGGGGGGGGATTGGGGGTCGGTGGTGAGGGGAAGGGTAGTGTTCGGGGGCGGGGGGGTGTTGAATTCGGTCGTCTGGCGGGTCGGGCGGGTGGGGGGGGATAAAGGTGTGTCGTGGTGGCGGTCGGGATTGGCGGGAGGGGGGGGAGGGTGGGTGGGGCGGATGGTAGTCGGTGGGCGGGGATAGGGGTGGGCGGGCGGAGGGGCGGGAATGAGGAGGGCGTGGTATGGCGGGGGGGGGGGGTGGCAAGACTCGGTATTTCAGGTGGCGGTGTGTCGGGGGTGCGGGAATGGGGGGGAGGGCGGTGTATAGATCGGCTGGTGATTATCGGGGAGGTCGGAGGGTTGGGGGTGGGGTGGTTGCGGTTGTGGTAAGAACCGGCGGTAGTTGCGGGGGGCGGGTGTGTTAGGTGGGGGTTGGAGAGAGGGGTTCGTGGGATATGCCCGGGGGGGCGTAGGGGTCGGGGCGGGGGTAAGATGGGGGGACTCGGGGGGGGTCGGGGCTGGGGCAAGGGGGGAGCGGGGTTAACGATTTTTTTTATTTTTCGGTGATGGTGAGAGGTGGGGGGATCCGGGCGGCTCGAAGGAGATCGGTTCGCAGTGGCGGGGTGGATAGGGGGGGTGAGGCAGGGGTCGGGGTGGGGGTCTGGGTGGCCCTGTGGAGGGTTGGGGGGGGGTTCGGGGAAGGGGCAGGGTACGGGAGGGGCGGTCGGGGGGGAGAAGGGGTCGGGGGGGGGGGATGGGGGTGTGCGGTCGGGGGGTGGTCAGGAATGGTTGCGGCGAGGGTGGCTGTTTGCATGCGAGATGAATTATCAGTCGTGGACAATCAACTGTAGCGTCCTAGAGCTTGGGGGTTCTGGGCTGGTCACTTGGTCCCTCATTAAATACCACAAGTGCACATAAGACGCTGTGTCTAAGCCAATGTGACCGGCTATAGGGTCACTGATCATTTAATTCTGGTCACAGAAGTGAGTACTCAACGGAGAACGGATGAACAACCTTGATAGGCACGGGCTGCTTTGAAGGCGTGTGAGCCAACTTGGCTGTTAACGGCCTTCGTGCCCTTCGGCGATTCGGTAGTCCAGGGAATCCTGGCTTCCTTGCTGCATTAATCAGGCTCCTTAGGAACCCTGAGTAGTTTGCCTCTACTGAAAAGTTGTTTCATCCTCACCTACATACGCGGTTCCTAACATTTCGCGGTATACGTCAATCTCTCAGCTGCCTTGGGGGTTAGGTCTTTCATGACCCAAGGCTCCGGGTGGGGTACCATAAGTCAAATTTCTTCCTTGGCCCAGGCAAACGTAAAGCACTGGGTCCATAAAAACTATGGATCCATGTTGCAAGAAATCTTCGCTCGCTCTCTCCGCTCTCGCTCTAAAGGCTATCACTGTCTGGAAAAGCTCTCCTCGGTCGAGTTGTTGGAGGATGAACCTGTCAAACACGTTTTACCGCACCACCGTGTAATCACTTTATTCTAAGTTTGTTCAAAGCCCCATTCTTTGTCTCTCCCTTCGATTTCATGTTTACAGCAACCTGGCCCTTTGGGCGAACGTTCTCGCCATACGGATAAGCAACCGCGTTCCGCGAACTCGTGTTGTCAAGCAATTTATATCGCCCCGCCCTCATTTCAAGATGGCAACGTTCAACGTTCGGACTCTGACACAGATTGGATCAAAGACAGCTGTTGCGGGCCCGTCAAAAATCCCCGCAAAAACGCGCCAGAAACCCCGGCAGAATGGCTGTGGGAAGCGTGGTCCAATTTCTCCCCACAACGTAGCAGTGATCAGCCACTCCGAGACGCGGCCCAAAAAAGCACATTTTGACAGTGGCCTTTTATAAACTACCTTCTCGTCATGGTAGAAATTTTCCGTTACTTAATGACCCATAGCATTAGCTGTGATTCGCCCTTTTGTTGGTCGTAAAAGAGCCTACAGAAGAGCGCCTCTCTTTCTTTCCTCTTGCCTTACTTAGGAGTCGGTCGGGTCACGTGATTGCGTGTGAGTCTGTGGCTGGACAGCCTTCGCGTCTATCGTAACCCCTCTCGTGTGCGTCCGTTCCGATGGCTCAGCGTCTATCCGAACACCTGCGACTAGGATCGTTCACACGCTCACTCAATTTCCGTCTCACCAGCTAAGCTAGCATCATCAGGTCAGCGCAACTCCGTTCGATTGGCCAACGTTACAAGTCGTCATCGTAGGCGTGCTCCAACCGGACCAGCACAATCTTATCAGGCAAGTACGCAATCATATCAAGAGGCGTCCCCTCAATTATAACAACAGCCTTTGCTCCCACTCTAAAAAATACGGCCATTGATGTCTGCTGTCTCAGAGGGCCTCGTTTATTGGACTGTAGCAGGACGCTACTACTAGTTTCACAGTCTGCGAATTTGCCTAACATTTTTGCTTCGCACCTATCTGGAGACACAACCGCCGAATCCGCTGGTTATGATGGCGTGGGGCTTGCGTTGAGCACATGTGCCGAGGCAGCGCTGCTAGTCTGGATCCCTGTCAGCAGTCAACTATGCGCCATTCTACTTGAAATCTCAGTGCAACTCTCCAGGCGCGAAACCAGCCAACGCTATCTGTTCATTGTCACAGCGTTCGCTTCCAATATTGCAGCCCGGAGTCAGTTATGGATGGTCAACTGACAGACCTTCTCCTTAAAACCCGACGTACTGACATTGGGGTGCTGGCAAGGGGACATGAACGCGCAGGTATCTTGACTTGAAGTTGACGAACTTGAACTCGGTGATGAAATCAGCGATGGCACTCGCAGAGCAGACAACAGTGACGGTCTTATACAGCTTCAGGCACATCAAGTGGATCATAGCGCCAACACGACACTGGAAGACATCAATCACCTGGCCAACCTTGGACAGAAATTGTCCACCCCGCAATTAGCTATCGCTGTCGGGGTTGCATACTGCGTTGCAAAGCAATCTGGAGTACGTAAATCACTTCGGATCGTGGTATGGTATGTGCCACTTTCGCTATTCGTTTTACTGGCTCTCATCAGCGCTACCAGAAACGGATTGACGTGGCCAAGCTTTCTGCCCAGAATGTTCTCGGCGCATTTCAGATGCCTTGGCCTCAAGGCTGAAGACTGTCGCATGCACAGACATTCAAGCACAATGGACAAACGTCCGTGGTTCTATGTACAATTCGTTGATCCTGGTCGGTGGCTTCACCAGTAATCCTGTCAACCACTGGATTTCTGTACGATCCTTACAACTTCTCCATACCCGGCGAGCAAATCCTGCAAGGGTTAACTACCATTCACTACGTAGGATTGTTAACACTGAACTCAAACATATTCTACGGAAGATCGCGAGACCTGGTGGACGCAGCCGGCCATTAAGAGGGGGCAAGCGGCGACTTCGGGGAATTTCCGTGAGCTTTCCTTCCTAATCCGATCTACTAGCGGTAAAATGCTAACCGTAAGCATCATTTTATACAAAACTAATGAAGAGCTAATCTACTGTCAAAAATGACGACTCGGGCATTGGGCCGAGCATTTGAACAGCAGTATAATTGGCTAGCAGCGCGGATGCATTCCTATTCTTGAGTCCAGTGCGCACCCTGGTGTGCAGCTGCGACACAACCACCTGAGGCTGACATTACCCATGAGCCTTGCCTCTTAAAGCCTTATAAGACACCTGGCCCGGATGAATTCCCGGCGGCTCTTTTCAAAGATGGAGGTCCATGACCTGTCCAAGAGTGAATTACCTCTTCCAAGAGATCTATGTCAAGGAAGATATCCCATCTTATTGGAGTCTAGCGGATATCGTGTCTGTCTCTCAACCAGGTTACCCAAACTAACTGCCCCAACCACAAAGGGATTAGTATCATCTGAGTTGCTCCCAAGGAGTTTGCAGCTCTGTTTATGAGGAAGCTCCGGTTGGTACGCGAAAAGAGATTGCGTGAAGTGCAAGCTCAGCATGGATTTGCGTTGACAACAAATTTACCTTCCGCCAAATACTTGAGCGTCGTCAAAAATTAGGCCGGCCAACGATCGTTTGCATATTAGTCATATTAATCGAGTTTGACTCATTTGTCGGAGCGGCTCTTTGGAGTTGTCTACTAAAATGTGGCGTGCCCGAGAAATATGTCACCTTAAATCAAGCGTCCTACTCTCAAATCTTGTGCTAGTGCGGGTGTAGTTCAGACTTGCGCCCCACTTAAATTTCAATAGTGGCGTGAGACAGGCCTGTCCAGTAGCCCGTTTCTTGTTCAAGTTCGCCATGGGGGAGTTTCCGGAGAGTGCTCTGGAGAACTGGGAACTCTGCGGCGTCGAGATGCTTACGGGGGACCGCCTTCGGGATTTGGAGTATGCGGACGATATCGCCGTAACCTTCGATTCCTCACAGGCCGCCCAAAGGTCATGTGTGAGTTAGAGATGTTCGTCTCCCCGTTTGAAATAACTCTGACCATCGAACTGCAAGGTCTTCCTGCCCGGCTGGCCATGGGTTGCTCCTATCCTCAGCCTTGCAGGCCATTTAATGGAAGTGATGGGCAAGTTGGTTTACCCCAGAATCTGCCTTAGCGCTAATGAGTAAATGGATGAGATCGCTTTGCGCGTTTCCAAGGTTCGGGTTGCTTCTGCTAATCTCCGCCATTTCTGGCGTTGAGGCGATCTGAGTCAATCTCTGAACGGTCGAGTTGACAATTCCAAAATAATAGTGGTTCTGTCGTATGCTGCGTAATCTGGACTGTTGGCGCAATTAAATTTGAGGAGCTCTCTATTTTCGATTATATATATATAGGCGGGTGAGCCTATGATGCGCTGAGGTTGGTAGTGGCTAGATCTTGACAGATGGTCTAATCACTGCTGCTACCGTTGTGCTATTTGCTCATGTCCTTGACGCCTCCTCGTGGCGACAGCTGGGTGAGATTTGGGTTTCGCCATTCTCCCTGCTAAGATCCAGGACACCAATCCGCATGAGGCAGTGAACTGAACATATGCTAGACCCGCTGCTTTTCGGGTAGTCATATAATCGAAGGCTTTGGCTGAGGACCCGAGTCGTTCTCCTGTCAGGTGTGGGCGCCCTGCCAGTATGCTCTTCGGAGGTTAGGAAGTGGTCGATAGCCCACTTCCCGTAAAAACTAGCCGTGGGAGACAACAGATCTACGGATTATAAGCTCACAGCTCGACTGGCGTAGAGCACGAGCGCCACGTATTGTCTCAGACGGTGGGAGGACACCTCTGGGTGTTCAATGGTTTGCTACTTCGCGCCTCAAGCCAGACAGCTGCTGGTCAAATTGGTGTAAACCAGACAAAACCCTCCTACGTCTGGCCGTGATAGCAGGTGCGTATCCTAA